CGAGAAATCGGCGAAGTTTCTCTACAACCTCTAACAACTTTTTCCACGTTGTGGAGGAGCAATTATGAGCAGAGTTATGAATTTTTGTATTTCAGCTCCACCCACCCTAGTGCATAATTCGCCCACTGAAAATTTTATCTATAACCTCAAACTACTTTCTCACTTCTCGAGAACCTTTGTGACAGAGTTATGAATATTTGATCTTATCCCCCCACCTTAGTGTAAACTCCGGTCACTTAAAAGATTCGGCAACATTTCTCCTACAACCTTTAACAACTTTTCCCCACATTGTAGAGCAATTCTGAACAGAACTATGAAGTTCAGATGTAAGCCCCGCCCACTCAAGTGTAAACCCCGCCTACTTTGAAGATTTTGTCACATTTTCCTAACAGCCCCTGATCACTTGTTGTCTGCTTTCTAGAACGTTTTTGAACCAAGCTACCCATATTTTTCAAAAGTACCTTTCATTCGAGTGCACGCCCCCCCATAGTGGGCGGAGTTTCGCTGATGCAATGCATGCTCAGCATGTAGCATGTATGAAGCCCTGCTCCTTCCCTTCCTCTATATCCTTCTCTGGCTTCCACACCTTCGTTTAACCGAGTTATCAATCTATGTAGGAAGCACCACCCACCCCGCAGACCCAGGTAGGTCTCCTTCATATGATTTCCCGACCTTTGCTCATTTTTTCCTTATGTATGGGCTTTCTTCAAGCCAATAAAAGTGGTTTCGCTTTGAGCACCATCCATTTCGGTGCATGTCCTGCCCCCTGTGGACGGGGTTCCGCTGGTTCATATGTGCTCTGTTAGTCTTGCCATAGGCTCCACCCATTCCAGACTTGACCCGATCTCCACTGTTGCTTCTTTAGCTGATACCGAAATTTGTGACGACAAACAGACAGTCAAACGAACGAACACACCAAACATGTGGTTTACTTATATATGGCGAGGATTTTTATAGGATCCCTTCGGCTCTATGGAATTCTTCTTTAATTTTTCGTTTGAAATACATTGAAATTCGACGAACAAGGAAATCGTCATCGTGAACTTCGACAGTGCTTCACTTGCTGATCAGGATTAATCCTCTACTACAACCAGGAAACTGGAAATCACACAACCGAACCGATTACCTACTTATTGAACGCTCAGCAAACTTGACTGGGAGCCTTGTTAACAAAGAAAGCCTCAAAGTAATGGAGTATGTGAGAATAAAAGAAACAGCGTCAGTAAAATAGGGTCTCAGCTATGGGCGCCCTCACGTTGTAGTGAAGGATGTGCAACAAAACTATGCCTGCTCGCATTTCTAGAGAGGCTCCTAGAGCCTTACAAGGGAAGGATATTTGGTCGCATTGGTTATACTAGATGAGACCGCAGTACGCGGTTTCGAACGCTGATCTCAAATCTGTGTTTCAAATCTGCTGAACGGTTCTGGGAGCAAAGTTACGAGACCAGTCCCTCCCTGTGTTATACCACTACAATGAACGAATCACCGAGCCGAGCAATCACAGTACATGTGCAACGGTGGCCTAGCGGATAGCGTGATGGACTGAAAGGTATGACGTCAGCTTTGGTTCTTCATAAAATGTGTCATAAACGCTTGCAAAACGCTTTTTAGGCTCAATATTGGCCACCTAAGGAGCTAACTCATATTTTAGGATTCCTCGGAATAGTAAAGCAAAAAATCCTTCTTACCTCAACTGACCGAATATATACGCCTCTCTAGCCCGAACAGTCAAAATGGTGTTTCGAAATCTTTGGTAGTTCCCTGCATCAACGGTAGACGGCGGCCGAATGACTCATCCGATCGCATCCCTCGTTAGGAGGTATTCGGGCCATACATTCCACCGATACTGTCCGCGCTTTCGAAACGGTGGTACAGATTAACTGGCATTGTTGAAGAAATACTGTAGAAGAACAGTTTATCGCTTCGTGTGTACAGGGTGTCCCAAAATTATTTGCGCCAAAGTTCGGTAATTTTTAAGGTCGAAATAATCCATCAAATTCACATTGCCTGCTATTAATTAGTTGCATAAGAGGGTTTCCTTGCAATATGCATGGTTGCTGATGTGGAACTCCCATTATCTTCCAGATGAAGGAGGCTCATTCAATGCCACTTGCAATCATTGACGCGCGAGAAGTGGAAGGGCGTTATGAAATTCTTTGGGATTCTTCCAATAACCGTACAGGAGGCTATTAAACGATATAGAAAAGAAGATTGAATCAGAGACAAACCAGGAAAGATAGAAAGGCCAATACTCCTAAAGATAGGATTATTAAAATGGTCCGTCTGCCAGTCGGTCGTGGTCCTGGGTGACCCATCAAAAGAAAGTCAACGAGAGGGCACGGCCTATCGGAGCTATCGCGATGAAAGAATGTCGTGCAGAAGCTTTATTACCATTCCTAACGTAGGCAGAAATTTCGCTTCAATTCCGATCTCAACAGAGACTGCAGGGCCAAAAAGTGCAGAAAGTCGCAGACCCTCTTGAGTGACGACAAGGAACCCTTCATCGTTTTCTCTGGCCAATTTTACCATAAAACCATCCCTCCACAGCCAGAACGTCCGCGTTCCGGAAAGAAACACTCAGCGTGCCATCTCTCACAAAAAGGTTGCTATAAGAATAGTAAAATGATTTTTTTTTGAAGGAGTCACTGGCAAGGGTGACACTCGTGGTTTCTTCGGCGCAGGCGTGAAAATTGACCAAGACTAGTACTCAAACACCGTACTGATGGAAGTAATGAAGCACTGATCCGACCAAGTCTTCTGAAACATCTCGTGGTCCTTCCAGCAGGACGCTTCTCCAGCCCACAGAGTCAAGCTTGCCTGCGAGTGGTGCAATGACAGCTGCCCAACTTCATCGGTAAAAAGTAATGGTCATCCTATTTTCCAGAACTTGACTCACTCAAATCCCACGAATGGTCCCTGATTAGAAGAGAACCTGTCGAGTTTGCAGTCCCAGTTTGGAGTCTTAGAATGCAGAAGCTGGAGGACGGCTGGGAAGAAATGGAGAAGGATACCTGCGTGTCACATGCGATCAAGTCGAAAGCGAACTTTGACTTCTATTCGCGCTCGTGGGGGATATTTAGAAATGCGACTTTAGCATGTTGTAGCACATAGTGTTAGCTAGCGTGCATAGAAATTCCATCGTTTGAGAAGTTTCAAATATATTGCTATAAATCGGCGCAAATAATCTTGGGACACCCTGTACGTATGATTATCCACTAATTTTTGAGGTGAAGAAGCTTTTAAGAAGCCCTTCCATGAAGTGAAAGTGGTGGTGCGGTGGGGCATGATACTACGGCTGTATTCAAACCCTCGATTCGCCTACGACTTGCTTTGAAGTTGTCCCCTATGGGTGTTCGTTGTTGATTTGAAGCGTCATCCAGTTCGTGCAATGAGATGCCTACACTAATTTTATGATAAACCTCTCCAACTTATCCGCTAATCTCTATAGGAAGGCAGATCGGCCCGCTCGTTTGCACCTGATAGTGACGACCAGATAAGACATCACATTTTGAAGAAGATAGACTTATTCAAAAACCCACGGCCTCTCATACTTGCCCTAAATTTCCGTAGACCGCACCCTGTCGTGATGATACAAAACGTGTTTTTATGTACGAGGAAGTGCGACTGCTTATGACACTCGAACTAGAGAAGGTTATCGACTCTTCCACCGCCGCCATGAAATTAGAGCTCATGGGCCGGATCACAAAGTTGATGGCTACGTTTCACTTCCAAACCTCATTTTCCCACAATCGTACGAGGTTTCTTTCGCGCAGTTACAGATCCATCGTCGCTGTCACTATCAGGCGACCGCAGAGGATCATTGTAATCGCCTTTCACGGACTCGATTTCCTCGCAGTGGATAACGGATTGTTTTTATAGCGTCGAGCATTACGGTTCAAAAGCTCTTTATTACCTCCTCTTCCTAGATGGCGCAAACGTTATGCTGGAAGAACGAAAGTCCTCCATCAAATGCGATGGCACAACCATCGGCCAAAATACTTCGCTGGTAACATGCTGAAGAGCGTTTGATCCGGTGAATCACTTGGAACCATACTCCTTGAAGCCTCTGAAACCTATTTTGAGCGATTGTTTGGAATTCCTCCTTCATTTGAGTAAAGCTCCAAGCTTATTGGGCCAGGGGGGGGGGGTGCAAAAAAAAACTTTCTCTGTACTACCTTTGGAGTAATCCTAAAATGTTAGATAGCTCCCTAAATGGCCGATATTGAGCTCAAAAAACGTTTTGCAAGTATTCAGGACACATTTTATGGAAAAGCAAGACGAGCGCTTGCAGCAAGGAACCGAACCTTGATGTCATACCTATAAGCCCACCACACTATCCGCTACGCCACCGTTTCACATGTATGAGCCTTGCTCTGCTCAGTGATCCGTTCATTGTAGTGGTATAACACAGGGAGGGACTGGTCTCGTAACTTTGTTCCCAGAATCGTTCAGCAGGTTTGAAACACAGATTTGAGATCAGCGTTCGAAACCATCCACGGTGGTATACATCTCATCTTGAATGGCCACTGCGACCAGGTATCCTTCCCTTGTTAGTGACAGTGGGGAGAAAACTCAAAAATCAGCACTTCTCTTGAACCACAGAAGCAACAGCATCAAGTAATGAATCGCGGAATGGATTCCAGGAAAATTTGTTGTAGAAAGCATGCACTAACCGATTTGGAGGAGGAAGTCTTCTCTTCAGCTGTCCCACACGGCGCAACGTGAAGTGAAATCGTGACCCAATACAAAACAAATACAACCCATTTTCATCATAACAACTACATCTTTCGAAATTTCTGATGCGAAAGGAGGAGAATAGAATGATAGATGAAGACTGCTAGGATTTGCACCATGTCATAGACCATTTTAAGAAATCCATTTCGTATTATAATTATCATTCACCAATGTATGAAGAGGCCATTGGTCCAGATATTTCCCTTGTAGCCAAACGCCGAATGGAGGAATACGGATAAGGATGCTGGTTGGAGCAGAACCTAGTCATGCTGCTACTTTTTTCTATACACTCCCTTGCGAAGCAAGCGCACCGGGGTGAGTTGCAAGGTAGTAACGATGTCCTTGCCCAATGCGCTACTTACATTATGATTGCTTTTGGCATTATAGTGTGGCGCTAACTCGTACAAGATGATAGATCAAAGCCGCTTTCAAAAATTCACATCGTTCAAAATGAAGATCAGCTATACATGGGCCTTTGCGAAGAAGTGCGAGCGTCAAGGAAGTCCTGTGGCTGACACGTGATAACTTGATGATTCTGATACCAGCAAGGAAAACTGAAAGTCAAGGAGTCTACCCAAAACAATGAAAAGACATCACTTATCAATTAAGAGTCTGTCGTTCTTAAACAAATTTAGTTTTAAAACAGTATAAAGTGTGAGTCATATCTCGCAAATGTTTCGATCAAGTATACGGAGCGACTAGTCAACAATGAAAAGAAATTAGTTTGTGACAGTGTCAACAGAGAAACATTTTGAAAATGGGAGCAGAAAATGTACCTCATCAGGTAAATCGCGCACTGAATGAACTTCGATTTGGCTTCCAATATTTCCCCCGTCACAGCTTTCTAAGCTTTCTTCGCTATAGCTGCACCTTTGAACACATGGCGCATGTGCAGCGCGTACAAGTGGAGCACAGCTAGACGAGCTTCCAGAGCGAACCGTTGGCGGAGTCTCACAGGTTCCTCAAAATACAAGAAGTTGAGAATAACTAAAAACGGTAACCAAAAACAAGTAAAACCAGATTTCGGACTCCAGCACCACTTCCATGGATTGAATTATTTGTCGCTGTCACGGACCAAATTTTACTGCAATGTTAAGCTCCTACTCGGCAATCGACTTAAACCAGCTGGAATAAACAATTCGAAGATCTGTGGGATTATCTTACAAACTATTTCTTGTTTCTTCTGCCATAAATATAGAACTTCTAAGCATTCGCCCAGGGATTAAGGATTAAGCAACAGATTCGGCCAACTTTCGAAGGAAGATTGGTCATTATTACTAGTGCTTCGCACAATCACAAATCAAGAGCGTGGCACAAAAATTTTGAAAACTGGGACCCTCGAACTCTTCCTTTACAAGTTCAGCCTGTGATAGTATGTATTCCTTCGAAGGTTAGAAGAAAGTGGAACCCCATGGGACCCTACTTAGAAAAATGAAGAGCCAACAAGAGCCAAGTTCCATACATAGTTAAAGAGACATCCCTGGTCGTACTTAGTGACGTGTCTAAAGCTACACGATATCTAATAGTGTTACACTTTCCAGTGCGCCTCCAATAGAAATAGGTGTCCTCTCTTGTATTAATAAACGAGAGTAGCCGAATCTCAACTGCGTACTCCTTTCTATCTTCACTACAGATTCCCACTGTTAAGTCAGATTCCCACTAGGTAGTTAAATCCCCGCCAAAGTTCCTTACAGATTTCCGTGCGCTTTCCAACCGATATCGAACTACTTCTCAAGAATAGCCCTTAAAAATTGCATTCGTCTGCACAAGCCAATATGAAAAGGGACTAAATTCAAATATTGCAAAGTCGTGGAGTGAAATCCGCAGTGAAGATATTCTCGTTGGAATCGCTAAAATCTTCGGAGACGACTTCGATTTGATCAACAAAGATGGGAGCCACAGACACGAAGGGATTTCACTTCAAAAGCTGGATACTCTATAGCAGATACTATTGCATTCTAGATTTGATATGGTACGGAAGCAAAATATTTATTACTATTTTTATAAAATTATCGGTTTTGGTTCCTCTTTAGCGCCCTAAAAAACCACGTATCCCTCCTGAGCAGACACATCTAAACCCTTGAGCAGATATAGGGGTAACGCAATCGTTCTTCAACATAGTCAACGTTGAAAAAACGGCTACAACGGCTCAATTTGAATCCTTGATCCGCATAAGTTGAGTTGCATGAGAAAGAACGGGTTATTAGGACACCTTTAGCTTTCCAACCGTTGAAAGGAAGCGAACGACACAAAACGCAAATAAAGGATTATTAAGATGCTGATTGACATAAAAGTAACATCGCTGGGAATATCAAGCTCTCCGCACACATGTTCTAGTTTCCAGGCATTACTATTTAAGATGGACCCTCCATTTACTTCGATGTAATAATTGATAATAAGCTTCGTCTGAATGCGTGAGAACTAACACTCCCATCGTGCGCTATGGTACGCTAGTGCACGAGTATTTCCCAATAGACGATTACGATAAGTAGCCAATGAAAAAGAGCCCGCGATGTTTCAATTTTTGAAGCAATACTCATTCAATAACTATTATTCTTACTCTCGAAACAATGAAGTTGAACAATCTTTCGAAACTCGACAGTAAATCTGGACTAAGTAGAACCAAGTCACCTACCCATACCGCATGTCCAACCCACTTGGCTATTCCATTTTCTCAGAGCTCCTGCATAAGTAAGTAATCCTTCTACTGCGATTAGAGTTAAATATCAACAGCCATAATGCTACCTCGAAGGTATATATGAATTGTTCTGAACTCTTTTCCAGCCCAGGTCCATCTAGGCGTGAACGCCCTTTACCGATAACACTGACCCATTTCTCTCTCGATGTCCACACAGTCATACTTTTTCCCTCTCTTGGGACCTCTAAAACAGGGTTACGAATTTGCGCAGCAAAGTTTCCAGTTGAGAGCATGCTTCGGCCGTCGAAATGAAATACACACTTAGCTTCCGCCTCAACAAATTTAGGCATTCTATAAGCTAGATTGCTTAAAAACTCAGACCTACCACCTCGAAAACAAATGCTGAGTGAAAAGGAGGAGCAAAACTTAGCAAAAATTGTAGCATTTAAGTTAGAGCGTACTAATCAGAACAACTAACCGACGGCGTGATTGTTCTGCAGCTGCACTTCGTCCAAAGCAAGACGATATCTATTTATTTGCCGTACGACGCACTCAATCTCTTTTTCGTATTGAAGAAGTTGAGAATCGCAATCTGCTGGATTGCCCATTTTCGGATTGTCCGTGTAAACCTTTGTGAAGAAGTATCAGTAACATCGAAATCACCCAAAATCCCTTCATTATAAGCCGAACGCGATTAGAATCTAACTCATATAAACGGAGAAGACATGTGTAGTTATGGGAGTGTCTGACCAGTATTCGGAACAGTTAATCACGCTCATTAGTTTGCAAACCATAAAGTCGCAGCTGCACGAAGTTGCAAAGCATTTATTCTGATTCATGCAGAATCACTGGATCAGGAAATAATTTTGTCTATTGTGCAGCGTTACACATAGATTTAGTGACACAAATACCCATGTCGGTGCACCCCCAAAATTCCTGCACACGACGAGGTATATGGTCATAGGTTTGCCTTTTCTTTTGTGTTGATCTAACGGCGCACGACTGGGATACTGGGATCACATAAGAAAGTCAATTACTCCAAGACCGACCTGTTTCATTTTTGTTAGCCCATCTTTACTCTGCTGGATTTTCTCTCTCTCTTTCTCTAATTCACATAGCTTTGCTTGAAGGCGTCTTACTCGTTGCTGAGGAGGAAGCTGCCCGTAATCAGCAATTGAGTCCGGCTGAAACTCATTATGTATAAATACCTTACAAAAACAATTGCTGGTGGTCGTCTCTAGCGCAACTACAAAGAACGCACATAGAACTATCCTACTTACTATAAAGCGCTTCGTCTGTCTGTCTGTCTGTCTGTCTGTCGTTCTGTCTGTATGTCTGTCACGAAATTCCTTAGCTCCTTTAGATCTGCCTGGAGAGACCGGGTCAAGTGTGGGATGGGTGGGCCAGGTCTCGAGAAGTATAAAGCACACATCAGCTTGGCGGAGCCCCGCCCACAGTGGGCGTGGCGTGCATCGAAATGAGCTGGACTGAGGACCATGATTTCGAATTCAGTCACAAGACGGCTTCAAAACTGGGGTTTAAAAGTGGCTTGAGATGTGCATTGGTAAGTTAGATCGAACTGGGGAGACCCACCCCCGATGGGCGGGGCGTTCTTCAAATATGCAATGCTTTATGAAAACATTGATAACTCGGTTTGGAGAAAGTCAACAGAGCAGGAAAGAGTTGATTTGGGAGAAGCATTGTCGAAGGTGTCTCCAGCATAAATGACGTCAGCGGAGGCCAGCCCACAATGGGCGGAGCGTGCCTCGAAGCTCACATCCCTTCTTACATTTATATACGAAAATCCATAACTCCTGTCCCCATGGACCTAGAAAGTTCAAACTTGATAGGGGTACAGGCGCCATGGTGGCAAAACTTATACAGACATACAGACACCGTGTTGGGGAAACTCATGGTGGGTGGTAAAACCAGACTCCGCCCACAGGGGGCGGGGTTTGGGCGAAAATTCATAACTCATGTCCCCATGGACCTAGAAAGTTCAAACTTGGTAGGAATACAGACACCGTGATGGGAAAACTTACGGTGTGTGGCAAAACCGGACTCCGTTCACAGGAGGCGATGTTTGAGCGGAAACTCATAAATCCGATAAAGGTCTATAATGAAAATCAGCTAATGCGGCTCCGTCTCTCATGGTTAGTGCCCCTAGCGCGCGCGAGAGTGTGCGTAGCCGCCTGGTTATACAATGACTGATGGAAAAAATCTGTGCACTAACGAGGTGACCACTGTACTCTCTCTCCTCTATGGCTAGCTGGAGAATAAAAAAAAACTAACAGTATATCTGAAAACTCTCATCAATTAAGAACCCACTTCTTAACTTTTGTTATTCCACAGCTTTCCCTTTCAAGGCGTACAGTGCTAATGCTTGTGGTAAGGCATTTCTAACTGTTCGGCACAATGATGCCAGAGGCTAGTTAATAAATGTGGTCGAATCTTTAAAGTAATCCTAGTCCGCATCAGGGTAGGCGAAATTAAATAGAAAATTTCTAAGTCTGTAAAAATGGTTTACTGCGTGGGGAAAGTGGTTGGAGGTTATAAACGGAATAAGGTGAAATTTCCAAAGGGGGTAAAGATTGCACTGAGGTGTGTGGAACTATGATTGGAAAATCCATAACTTTGTTCGAAAACGTTCTAGAAAGTGGAAGAATGTTGTTCACGTACACACACAAGTACAAACACACACAAGTACAAACACACACACACACACACACACACACACAC